GTGCTATTTGATGGTGACGTATATTTTGTATGCATTCGATTTGGAGGTTAAGGTGGATCGTCGAAAAATTTCATGACTTCCAAAGTCAAGCTGAAGTGATTTTTGAAGTGATATTAATGACATACATAAGTACTATAGTATATAAAAAACTATTTTGTCGTGGAAAATAACGATTTCTTCGGTAAAAGTCTAGAACGGATAGTTGAATTAGTCCTTCGAGAGACAGACAAGAACTTTCAAGATAGTTGCCAGAACTGACAATTTTCTTACGAAAGACTGTGGTGAGTTGAAAAACAATTTCCAAAATTTCCCTGTAAATTTACATATATCGCTCGTTTCCTAGAAAAAGGTGATAACTCAAAAAATCAAAGAAAGATTTTTATGTCAGGATTTCTTCCACATAAATATAAGAAATATAATCGTAAATTTTAATCAAAATGACAAAGCTGTCATCACTCTTAGTTCGGTTCCTTACTTTACTCAAAGAGTGATCGTTTTCCACTTCTCCATTTATGGTTCCTAAGCAACGTTGAAAAGTGTAAACCTCTAAGGGCCGGTTGTACAATGTCTGGTTAATACAAATCGGTGGTAGAAGCTCTGGTTAAATACAATGACTGCTTTATCGATCCAATGTTATATTCATGTTCATATCGAAAATGTCGATAATGACGTTTAACTGGGCGGTAGTGATAACAAGAATAGAACAACCGATCCTAAGAAATCAACTTCTCTATCTATACAAGTAAGACGCGGATTAAAGAGATCGTTATGCATTTTTACACAACTTAATTTCTGAATATTTAACTATAAAAAATCGATTCTGGTTTACGATGTTCTTACAGCAGACTAGCAATATACTTTTCCCAAAGAAATCTGTGTGCAATAATGGAATTTTCAGTTATCTACATACTCGCTCTATACTCTTCAACAGGAAAAGTTCTTTATTAAGCAAAAATATTTTAGCGAGGCACCTTAATGAATTATTTAGTTACATTTGTTTGTATGTAAAAGTGTTTTTTTCTCTAAATTGATAATAAATTTGCGCATAATAAAGTTCCTTAACAAGCGAATATTATTAATGTAAATAATTAATAGCAAATTTTTTGGCTGAGCCTATACCCATATTCATTAATGCATAAATATGAACAAAGTATGTATGAATGACCAGTTAGTTACGAAATTATGTACATATGTATGTATGTTAAATAAATTACACTAGCCAACAAAATTTTGGACGATCCCAGATCCAAGAACTGGACCATCTATTTCCTATGCAATTTTTTGCACGGAACCCAAATCCGTTGTCAGCATTGCTCAAGTTTTATAAGATATTCAATTCCGATTATTCTTCGCTGAGATGTTAAAATTTAAAGTATGCTATTGACACTACCATATTAGGCCCGTCATTGTGAATTCGCATTGTTTCACCCAATCGTAAGGTAAACAGGTAATTTTTTTATCCAACGAGACCATTTTTCCTGAATTCGCCATATCCAAAGCTTTGAAATGTTGTTGTCGAAATACTATATTTGGTCACAAAAAAAGTATATTTAACACACTGTAAAACGCCTAAGCTGTGCAGGTTCAAGAATAAATGGTTTCGTTGAAAACTGCCGCGGAACTCCGCGTCCAGTCCGTGAAGACTGAATAAGATACCAAGTTGTGGCCAAGTCGATCTAAGTGATCTGATAGTCGAAGGTACTATTTTTTTTAAACTCAACTCTACCTTAAATGAAGGTAGCCTGTTAGACATCCTGAGCCTTAGAGAACTCTTAGTTGCAAACCATTTGGAATTTGTGTCTTAAGTGAATATCCATGAGAGGGTATCTAACTCCGGCTGAAGCGTCGAGCGGACCATGGACTGGTATACGGAGAATTATTTTGCATTAAATTCAGCGCAGATGGCCACCGTTGCCAAGTGGGTAGAGCTGCACACTACCACCCGGTAGAGCCCAAATTCTAATTCATGGCCCCACCGACATCTAAACGTGTTTTTTCTAACAGCGGACACTTCCTTGGCAAGCAATGGCAATGGGGTTCTGCGCTTTCTTCCATAGTAGGTATGTTCGACGATTTTTTATGTGGAACGAAAATAAAAATAAAAAATTGCCTAAAGTCAACGATAAAGTTTAGCCACTTCAGACTTGCACTTTTTTAAATTTAAATTAACTGGGCTGCAAAATTGCGTACTCAAAATCTTAATAAGAAATCCATGCAAAAAGACTTGAAGTTTTTACGAAATTTTGTTGAACTTTTTTTTTTTAATATAGCACAAAGTTGAAATTGGGATTTATACGGGTTTTGTTAAAGAATAAACTATATTTTTGTAAAAAATTAAATTAAATATTTATTTAATTCCCGGTATATTTCTCAGTTTTCAACGTTGAGTGCACCAAACTTAAGGCAGTCGAGCTTAAAGCTTATCTAGTCCAAGCTTTGAGTAGAAAGGAACCAGGAAGCGCTCGATAATCAAAGCTCGGCTGCTACGAAAATTAATGTCATCATTTGTATGTATGTATGTACAAATGTATAAGTAAAACATGGCTGTCAATTAAAATTAAATTCATATTTGTTCTTGCAAAGTTATAGTTTTTAAATACGAGTAGTTGTAGTTGTGCCCACTGCTTGCTTCTTTGGTTAATAATCCTTTGGAAGGAAGAAAATTATAATCATGCACTCCAAAAAGGATATACTACATGCGTATATACATACATACGTATGTATACATATTCAGCCTGAATATCATTTCGTTTTTTTTTTCCATGCCGTAGACTGGCGTCAACTTCCCTCGCTTTTAGTGCAGTGCAACGTGATTTTTATCGCACCTCAAACAATATTATTTTCGAGCTCAAAGTAGTTTATTATGTTTGTATGTATGTATGTATGTATGCAATCATGCCATTAGAAATGTCACTGCATATTTTCTTTAAAGCCTTTATTTGCGTGTCAACTGCGCCAAGCTCAGTGCACAGTGGTCGTAATGCGCATTCCACTTCTGTAGATGTGTGTGTATAAATGTAAATATAAGTTTTTATGTATGCAGGCTTGTATCCTAAGCTTTGATTGATCGCTAGCTATGTGGAAAATCTTCTTTGCTCACAACGCAACGCCTCTTAAATGGATCCAGTAAGTCCAAGACTTTCACAAATTCGTTTTTCTAAAAAAGCAAGAGCATTTTACGCCAATAGTAGGCTTACCAAATTTTCATTTACATTTTTTTCTGTAATAAAAATTTTGTTTCAAGCTATAAAAATCCTACGGAGCTTTATTTTCAGTTACAAGTTCTACCCGAAATCCCACTGTGCATACATAACTCGCTGGCAAATTTTGCTTTGCTTCCTTTAGCTGCTTTTAATGAAATACTCAGCTCTATTTGTCTTATCTTGGATTTTCATATGCACTTTTCCTGCGAGCAAATACACAGCCAAGTAAACAAGTGTAAACAAACATACATACATACATACATACTTATTCCCTTTTATGAGTGCTATATCCTGCGTTTATAAACAGCGTGCAATATAGCTGACAGTTGGGGGTATAGCAAGTGACAATCTGGGCTATTATTCTCACAGCATGTGGTTGAGAATAGTTATTCTAGTGGCGAACCGAATTGTTCGTCCTTTTGTATTCGCCTAGCAGTTGTAAAAGAATATGTTGGCTAATATAAGGAAAGGAACGAAGTGCTTAACGCATAAGTTGCCGCCGGATAGATGCAGTTGCAATTTGGTTGAGTTTAGAAAGTCTTCATACGTCTCTGATCTATTTTTTCCACTTGTAATTGTTTCGTCAGTGAATCATATGGCCGGGCTATGATTTAGCTAAACCACCCCAAACCGGTGCTACGCAAGTGCAATACCAATCAATAGAATCTTTGATAGTTCTACTTAAATGCTTAAATGGGTTCACTGGACCTTGGTTTCGATGTTTGGTGAAAGCAAAATAATGGACCGGATCGTAAACGATATATAATCCTGGTATATCCAATTATGTCCTCCATGAATTCTCGGCACTTGTGAAGGTCATTTGACAAAACAAAAGTGAAGTTACTCATCTCCCAACCCACAGTACTTGGCGCATTCGGTTTCGTTTAAACACACAGCTTCGGTCGGGCACTGGTATTCTCATAGACTCACACACACATCAATTGTCGTGCACATTTTTACTCAGAAGCCACACTCCATATTAACTAAAATGTTGTGGGAGCAATGCAATTTTGAGTTGATTCACAATTCGCTCATTTGTGCTTCCTTTTTGCCGTTACTAAAGGGAAGCTCTCGAAGGTGCGGCCTTTCCGCTCCACCATCCTTTTATCTCTGCAGCAATAGATTTGGACTGGAAAAAGGATATACAACCACTGCATGTGGCTTTTGGCAACAGATGAAATAAATATTGCGTTTAGAATCCTTTGCCGTGTATTTGAGTTTCATCTGCATCTCCATGGTGATAAGAGATAAGAAATCAGCAGGCAGGCAGGTTTTCAATAAGGAAATGCAGAGGCACAAAGAAAGTGGTGCAACTCTTCTTTTAGAAAAGTGCTTGGAAGAAAGGCGTTTTTCCCCACTGAAACCGAAAAAAAAACGTAAAAACAAATTGAAAAGCCATTCACGCATGCTGCTGCCATTTATTGCTCCAAATACTACTATTTCCTTTGACATGTGTATGGGAGTATCAACACTTTTACGTCTGTTATTTATTTTTTTTTTGGTTTATCGTCAACCGAATCAAAGTCGACCAATGTGTGACAAGCTTTTTGCATTTTAATTAAAAAATACTGCCTTGTAGAGTTATTCATTCTGCCTTCCTTGTTGCGCACTGTTCGCGTCTACCTTGGTCATAAATATGTATGTACATATGTATGTCTGTATATATTTACATATATAACACATTTGCTGCTTGTTTAGCATTGCTTTTATCTTTTATCAAATTCCTGATTCTTGTGAATTGACTGACATTCCACTAAAGATTTTTTTTTTTAACACTCTTCTTTTTTTTTATCGCAGCTCAGAGACGATTTTGATGCCATAAATTAGAACAATATAGTCCATCATTTTATGGAGAACACGGCGCAACGCTCTTTGCTATTGAGTGCCTACAGCAAGTTAGATGATTTTGAAAAGAACTGAAAAATAAGCGGGAACATGTTGCAGCGTACAAAGTCGGCGCGAAATCGGAAGATTAGTGGAAGGTAAGAATATTTATGGAAAATACTTATATTGTTGTTGAAAGGAGACAAGCCTCCTCATGACCACAACCAACGCCATCACTATTACCACTATTAGTACCAACACCCATTACCATGACTACTATTTGCATTACCATTACCACTATTATTACCATTAAAAAAATGCGATTACCCTTACCAATACCACTATCATTTGTCTTTATCTTTATCATTACTATTTCCGTTATCATGGCCATTATCATTACCAATACCATTACCATTACCATTACAATTACCACTAGCCGTCACATTATCATTGCCCTTAGAGATGCCATTGCCATTACTATTTCCGAGGTTATTAATATTACAAGTACAACCACAAGTAATAGTAATTACTATTTCCATTACCATTATCATCATCTTTACTTATATCATGATCATTTCAATTTCCATCGTCTATGCCATTATCCATACCATAATTATTACCAAGGTCTGTACCATTGCCGTCACCATTATGACGAGGATTGAAAACTGGTAACCGCCGTTTTTTTTCGGGCTTCGAACCAAACCACTCCAATAAATGGGTCGTTTCAGTTCAAAATAGAAATCCACTAAAGTATTTTCTAAATACTGTAATATACAACTTTGCCTGAAAATGCAACCCTTAAGCTGCATTTACATGAAGCGATCCAACATTGCTCAAGAAAAATCGCTCGTCTAAATGGTGATTCAGAAATCGCATGCCTTAAAGTAGACAGCAAGTCAACTTTGCAAGCGATTATCGCCTGTCAAAAAAATCGCCTAATGTAAATGTATGGTAAAACTACTAAAATTTGTTTGTTTGTTGGATTTAAGCTCTAAGCAGGATTTTAGTTGCATTGGCGTACCTGAAAAAAAATAGGTTTCGTTCAAGTGTGTTATGAAAAAAGAAATCGTCTAAAACAAAAAAAATCAAAAATCAACGGTAATTTTTAGCCACTTAGAACTTACATTTTACTGCAGTAAAATTCTATGGGCTACAAAACTGCATACCTAGAATTTTCCTAAATGCTCTGATAAAAATTTTTGATATTTCGATGACTAGTTTTTAAAATTTGAAAAATCTTCGGGTTTGCAGTCTTGGGCTGTACCAGAGAACTTAGATAGATAGAGAAGGTGCAAACTGAAAGTGGGAACTATTCGCGGACGAAAAATTAACAGCGTTAGAAAAGTTCAAGTCGGAATGTAGAAATTCTGTTGAATTTAATGTTGATAACATAATACAATGTTGAGCAACATGAAATGTGATGTTCTTTGCGAGCAAATAAACGAAAATATAGCTGAAATACAATGCCGGCGAACGGCGAACTCACCACAGCGAAATTCGCGTTGTCAAAATTAGAACACCCGCAAGCATATGAAATTGAACACAGCCAAAGCGAAATGCGAAGTTCGCTTGGCGGCGTTTCATGGCGATAGATTTATTTCTATCGCACTGCTGGGCTATGACAGCTGTGCGTGCCAAAGGTGGCCGTATTTCTTTTTTGCTTTCAAAGTTTTAAAAGAAAACAACCTAAACACGATTTTTTGTTGTTGTTTGAAAAATATAGTTGTGGATTCGTTAAATCTGGCTTGAAACAAATTATTTATAATAATCTTTCTTTGTTTTACATTTATATTTGTTATCATTTCCTCATTTCTAAATATGATTTAGTTTTTTCCAAATATGGTCACCCAAATTATAAAGGCGACCAAATGGGATCAGCTGTTTTCGCTATCGCTCTAATTCTGTTTAAGTAGGCGAAATAGCTGGGCGAACGGTGAACGACAGCATCGCGCAATTCGGCGAAGTTTGCCGTTCGCCGGTATTGTATTTCAAGCAATATGGTAAATCTTCACATAAGGGCTATTCGCGATCCTGTGCAAATGGCCAAGCATCATTGCATTGCAAGTTTGTATTGCAAATTATTTGCAATACACAAACAAAATACACGCATTTGCATTTGTCATGGCTTGGCAAATTTGCAATACCGAAAATCCATAGCATAAAAATGCTATGCATTGCATTCATAAACAAAATCAAAGCTGATGCACAAAAATTGTTTTGCAAAAGCTTTACCATGACAGTTTAATAAAGCTCGTTCACAATCCATGGCATATTTCTGCAATTGCATAAATTTGTCAGCTCTTATGCACCGAATCGCGAATAGCCCTATAATTTTTATTAATTTGTAATTTTAAAGTTTAATTAAATTTAAGTTTAAAAGCTTGCACAAATTGCAAAAAAATGAATCAACCTTTAAGAAATGGTCATCCAAATTTTTTATTTTAATATTTAATATATTTTCGGGTATGCAGTATTGTAGTCCATTCAATTATATTATAAGAAAGTACAAGTTTCAAGTTGTTAAAAATTACCGTTGATTTTTTAGATTTTTTTGTTGGGGTGTTGCTGTTTATTTTCCATACAAAAAAAAAAATTGGTTCATGTGTTATATGGAAGAAAATGCGAAAAAAAAATTCTAAGAAATCAACGGTAATTTTTAACGACTAGAAACTTGGACTTTAGTGTACTTGATTGAATGGACTACAAAGCTGCATACCCGAAAATTTTCTAAATATTCTAATTAAAAATTTTGAAATTTTTATAACAATTTTTTTAAGTTTGATTTATTGTTTTGCAATTTGTGCAAGCTTTTAAACTTTTATTATTGTGGTTTCTGTTATAGATTGAATTATGTATTAAAGGAAATTATTAAAAATAAATAAATAAACATAATTTGCAAACAATATCATTTTGAATTTCGTTGCTAATTAGTTGATCGCATCTGTATGTACTACAAGCATCCATATGCGCATGCCTGGGAAAAAACCAATTTTATCATTTTTTTAACTAACATGCATTTTTACTATTTACATAATATAATACTCGTACAAGAAGCGAACTTGAACAGATGCTTTTTAAGTTTTTAGCAACATTAACTACTGAATAAATTATATTTAACAAATGGTCATGCAGAAATGCAAATCAGCAATTCTAACTAATATAAAAGTACATTTAATATAATTTAACTATATTAATTTATTTAATTTTATAAAAAAATATACATGAATACGTTTCTGCATTCACCTGCAACCAAGCAACACATAGCCAGACACTAGCAACAAATATAACATTATCATAACAGAAATTTACATTTTTCTCTGTTAACTCTTCTTGAAATGTTAATCGCGCTGCGGTGATATTCCATGGATTTATTTTTCAGCCAAACAATTTTACGTTCCAAAAATTTGCACCTTTTCTATCTATCTAAGTTCTCTGATACCACGGCAAAGATTTTCAATTCCATCACATTTCGACAAAATTTACCATAGTAAAAAAAAAACTGAAAAAAGTTCATAAACCAAAAAATTTACGTTCTAAGAAAAAGTTCACATTTAGCACAGTTTCAAACTATTTCGGAGTAAAGAAAAATCTGACAGTTTGGCAGCCAAAATACCATGCGAAAAAACAGTTTGATAGCCACCGCTGAGCTATCGGTTTGTGCTGTTGCTAAAGCTTTTGCTTAGAGCGTAAACTAAAGGTTGAAAAACGTGATGTAAATTCTCTGGCGGCATCTAACGATAATTAAAAAAAGCTTGTTGAAAATGTAGTAGATTATTTTTACTCACTGTTGTCAATTTTTAAAATTCAAAATTTTGTTCAGTAAATTAGGGAAAAAATGTGCACAACAGAATTCTGTGCATACAGTAACTCAAACAAGTCTTCACATGTTAATTTTATTTTTATAAATATTAATAATGCTTTTCAATATTTTTTTTTTTGTTTTTCTATAAAAACATTGTCCAAGCCAAAACTATATAAATCAAAGTTTCAAACTTTATGCATGCAAAATTTAGGAAAATTCTTATGAAGTAAAATGCGCAAGACAAATCGCAACCAAATTTCAAGAATTCAACGCCAGTTTTTTAAAATTTCACTTGTTCTCTACTATAGCATAGAATAACTAAGCGAAATTTCAAACTTAAAAAACCAGTGATTGAAGTACTGTTAGCCCCAAAACTACGTAACTTGTAAGCTTTAGATCAGCGATGGGCAGAGGGTGTCTGCACGCGCCTATGCAAACTACATATATAGAAAGCTTAAAAGACCTTTGCCCGCGGGAAAGGCAGTGCCCATCACTGATTTAGATGTACATATACAGTGACTCAAACAAATGACCACGTGTTGATTTTCTTCAAATATTCGTAATGTTTTTCGAGATAATTTTCTTTTGTTCACAATAAAATGTTGAAATTTTGATGAAAATTTTTTGAATTTTCCTAAAATTTGTATAAAATTTGAAACTGTGATTTACTGGGTTTTTGGTTAAAGCTTAGACGATATTTTTATACAAAAATAACAAAAAAAGTTTATCTCGAAAAACATTACGAATATTTGAAGAAAGGCAACACGTGGCCAGTTGTTTCAGTCACTGTATATATATGTATGTATGTATATACATAAGACTGTGTCAAAAACACGCTAATTTTTTTCTTTCAGTCCCATATGAAAATTTCGTTGTCGGTCACAAAAAATAAGTTCGGCAAAATTTCAAAATTTATAAGATGTGGGCTGTTCGTTGGACTAAATAGTGAGTCTTTGAATGAGAGGACTTGGCCTCCAGATGTGCAATAAGGTTTAATTTTTTTGAATAGAGCTGCCGGCTGTATAAAAAATTATAAGATCCACACCGTTCGTTGCATTAAAAACAAAAGATGTCAAATGAAAGGGCTTGTCCATTAGGTTTGCAATAAGGCTTTCTTTTTTAATAGGGTTGCGACCTGCTGCGTTTATGTACTTCAGTATGTACCGGATCGTGAATACCCCTAATATCAAATGAAGTGCATGCGGGATATGACCAGTCTACACATTTTTTTTTTTAACCCACTTTCGTTCACTGTTTCCTTTCTATGCTTAAACGTTTCTCTTTAAATGTTTCCTATGTATAAGCTTTTAGTTTTATTAAAGTTTATTTCTTCTAATTTTTCAGGTGCAGTGATGGCGACTCTTCGGCGAATGAGGCTCCCGTATTTGTAAGTAAAAAGTTTATTTACGTACATACGTACATACTTTAGCGGATTTTTTTTTTAATATTTTTCTTTTGGCCTAAATAACATACATACGTGTGCGAGTTGATGATTCGATACTTTAATTTAAATGGAATGCAAAGAACAGCTGAAACCATTTGTTTCGAATGAAGAAACGCTGCTCCTTTATCGTCTCCCTTTATCTTAAAAATCAACTTAAAACAAAAAACAGAAAAAAAAATTTTAATTTATTCGTTGTTTATTTAAAAAAAAAATTGCAAAAAATATTTTGCATCAAAATTCTTATTTTTGAGAGCGCCAACTGAATAATTAAAATAGGAGCCTGAGGTTTTGCCACAATTATTTTTTTTTTGTTACCAATAACTACCCTCTTAGCACTTAAAGTAATCAGCTTCCTGCGGAATTTTCGATTTCGAGATGACTTGCAGTAAAATTCTACGCTCAATATTATTTTATTGCACTTTAACCCTATCAGTACCATTTTCAATTACTTTTTTTTTTTTAGTAAAGGTCAAAAATACCGATGCTGGTAGAAGTTAAGGAGTGGTAAATTTTAACAAAAAAGTTTGTTCGGTAATGTGTCTGAAAACAGGAATCTGTACCATATTTCGTACGGCATTATAACTACATTTAGGCGCCTTATAGATATTAGTAAGTGGTAAGCGTAATATATACATCCCTACTTGCTTGCGTAATTCAAAAAATATGTTAAAAATCAAATCAGAAAATTCCTGCAACCGAATTCCTAAACTCATTCAATGACTTCTCAACTTTACAACTCTTTGTGGCATGCAACCACATGTCTCACACTTACGCCGCAGCTCTACAAATATTCAGTCACTCATATCCACATTCACATATACATATATTTAATTATGTACTCATCACAATTGCGCATTTCCTACTACCAGCAGCTCGCTTTCCTCCTACAAGTGCATTTTTTCGTGGTTTGCTCTCTTCGATGTGCGTCAGTTGGGCGGCCGTCACTGATTTGTTGAATTTTTGGCTTTTTTCCTGGTCATGATTTTGATGGAATTCTTCCTTTTCATAGCGACAATTGTTCTAACTCGTGTTGTTGCTATTGCTGGTGGTGATAATTTTTTTCTGTTATGTTATTTTGATAGTAAATTTAACGATGTCAATGTGGTATGTGGCGTGCGGCATGCAGCCAGCCAAATGCTGCACTTGTAATAAAATCCAAATTCCACAACCACACTTGTCGCCCGCCCCCCGCTCCCTGCCGAAATTGTGTTTGTGTAGTCGTATCACTTTCATATTTGTTTGCCTTCTTGTGCGTGCTGCATTCTTCCACTGCAGTTATTTTCATTCCGTTGCTTGATTTCCGCTCGATCATTTGCTTTTTTTTACAACTTGTCTCCCGGCTTCAATTACATTCGTAGATACATTTGTCCATACCATGCGGGTGCATCTAGTTTGACGATTTTAATGGCTTAATTGTGTCTACTCGAAGACGCTTTTCGTGTTCGTTCCCATTTTATTAATTGATGAGACGTGATGCCGTAAAATCAGAATTATAGCTCAACTGCTGGTGTGTGTGTTTCATTTCGGTAGCAATTGAACAACTGTGAAGCGTGTAAACATAGAATTTCAAGTGATTTACATAATAAAATTTAATATGTTTACACGCATGAATTCTTGAGGATGGGCAATGTTTTCGTGTTCGAGAGGAGGTCGATAGGTAGGCGTGCTGCACATGTGCATACAAACATATATTTGTGCCTACCTTCAAACATATTTACTTATATGTATGTATGTGCATATGTTCATAGGTATATGTGGAAATACCAGAGGACGCAATCATTCCACCTGCTCAGGTAGCCTCAAGGTTAGATAGTCAACTGAATGCCAAAAGAGAACACAAATCCAGCATTTGAAGACGCTGAGGGCTTTAAGTTTATAAGCGGGCAACGCCTGTTTTGTGTTTATTAACTCATTGAAACCCTTCAAGTCTTTGGGTCCTCAATGGCGTCATATCTTTCCAGCTACAAAAGTTTGCGAAGGTGTCCCGACGTTGGCTTGCCCCTATCCACATGGGCTGCTTAGGCAGGACTGCGTCCCAAAACATTAAGTTCTGATCAGGGTTAATTTTATAACCATGGCACGTAATACCCCGGGGACTAGCAGTACACAGTGGTCGAAACTACAGACATATCCGAACACGGCACTCCGGACACACTTTCACGACGAGGCTCAAATTCTCCCAGTTAAGTAGCATAACACGATGCTCATGAAGCAGTCCTTCGTAGAGTGTCCCTCGCCCAGGCACGTCAAAAGGCATCTATACGAACTGAAAGACGACATCCAGAGTGTCATATGTGAGAGGTAGGTCTGTTGGTTGCCTGTCTATCGACTAAAGTGTTGATACGATTTCTGGACGGATTGAATTCCAGAATTAGTTATGCTGCCTTAAAGCCTCAGGGCTAAACCCGAGATTCGTAAAATACAAGTCGAGATCCAATCCTATGTATGAACTGAGCAGGAAACTTACTTCCATGACTAAACGGTATTGTCTTCCAGCAGTTCACAGCCTCGACTTGGCGCCGAAATACCTACAACCAGTATAAATCCTAGAGAAGAGCTTCAAGAACTTCTTTTAGGTGATGTTCCAAATAAGTTTCAAGCTGTGAATAAAGAAATCTATTTTGTTGAATCCATTTAGTCTCATTCACCAAAGCTAAAATTCATTCAAGAATTCTCTTTTTTCCCAGGCATCTGTGCATCGACCACGCCACAATGTTGGCGCAAGTTCAGCCGCAAGACGTGATGGCCAGCCCAAAGGACATGGAGCCGCAACATCAACAGCTGGTGGTGGTCATCAACAGCGCCAAAGCTATCATCAGTATCAGCAACAACGTAAATTACAACAACAGCTGCAACAACAACACTACCAGCAGCAGCAACAGCAATCAATCGGCAATGAGAATTCGAGTGCCGCACAAAAATTAGCCAAAACGAGTCGCAATTGGAACGAGCAACAACAACAGCAGCAACAAATACTACGGCAACAGGCACAGGCACTGGCAAAGTATCAGCAACAGCAGCCACACACGAATACTGGCGACACTGCAGCGAAGCAATCAATTGCGGTGGTGGGAATGCCGCAATCATTGGTGGCTGGTGGCCATGCTGCTGGACATGGCAGGCCGGCAATGCAACAAATCGATACGAATGGTGGGCTACAACGCGATTTGTCGCCAGCTAAGACGAGTCGTATACCACAGCAGCAGCAACAGCAACAACAAACAAATTTTAATCAAATATCGAAAACCGCTACAAATCTATTGAACGACATTTACGAGCGTCATTTGCTAAGTCAGACGACATTTCAAGTGGACGGTATACTGGAGAGGCAACAGCAACAGCAACAGCAGCTACCACAACAACAGCAACAGCAGCAGCGACCGAACTGGCAACAAAAGCAGCAACTGCAGCAGCAGCGTTTCCTAGCAGCGCGTCAGGTGGGCCAAGAAGTAGAGCTCAATTTCGCCAGCTCTTCGAGTCAGCAACAACGTAGTCAGCCGCAACAAAATCAATCTCAGCAGCGTACACAGCAATCGCCACGCCACTTTCTCTCTGCTGCCAACAGTCAACAGCAGCAGCCATTTGACTCCTCACACGAAGATGTTGACAGATTGTCGTCGTCGGCGGCAACTTTTGTGCCCATACATGGTGGGCCCAACCAGCAGCATGTTGCACAAAAGCCAGTACACTTTTTGAAGTTGCCGCCACCACCACCACCGCCGCCGCCTGCGCCAACAACCAACCAACCTGGTGTCAAGCAGGAATCCATACATTCCACAGAGTTGGGAAGCTACTCATCCTATCAGCAACATTTCCAATTCTCCGATGCCTATGTAGAGCCAGTGGATAGTCGGCAACATTTTCTGCTGCAGAGCGATGCAGCTGCGAATCCACCACCACCGCCTGCGCCACTCAATCACGTCTATGAGACAATTAAGGAGCGGCCACCGTTGCCGCCACCTAAAAATCTTAGAAAATCTGGTGCAGAAGATGTGGCGCCCCCATTGCCACCCTCGAGACAGTTGAAAAAGCGTTTGCTCGCCGCAAAAGTGGGTGGTAATAAGCGAGCAGCTGCGGCAGCAACGAATAATAGTCACGGCAAACTGGACGCTGGTCAGTTGGGTGGCAAGCTCAATAGCAAGCTGCTGCCTATGCAACCGCCAGCATATGTGGCGCCACCAGCTGCGGCTACAAAGCAAGTAATCCAACAGCAGCAACAACAACAACAGCAGCAGCATCAATATAACCCGCAACAGCGCACCAAAGCCGATGGCGAGCAACGTCCTTACCTGTATCAGCAGTTGCGCGAACGACAGCAGCAACAACAACAACAACAACAACAACAACAACAACAACAACAGCAGCAGTTGCACCCGGCTAAGGCAGTTGCACAGCGTCAACTTTTGGAGCCGCACCAGTCACAACAACAACAACACCAGCAATCCCATTCAGAACACACACAAGCGCGCGAGCATCCTTTGGGCGCGCATGCCGACCAGCACGGTGCACAACAACAACAACAGCAACAACAAAAGACTCAGAAGTCTGCTGGAATTATGATAACCCAACCCGCAGTGGCATTAACCACCACAAAGGCAACGATACATGCCACAGCAGCCACAGCATCCACACAGGTGTTGTCCTCTTCTGCGACTTCCAATTCCCAGCCCACCACTTGCGGCATCTCCGCCATTGATGTGTCTGATAGCTCTGTGGAATTGTTGTTACAACAAGCCGGCTTACTGCAATCGTCGCATGCCACCTCATTAACGGCAATGCACAGCAACAGTGGCATTGGCGGCGGTGGCACCAACAACGCCTGTGCGCATGCAACTAATAATGCCAATAATGCCAAACACAATGGCGGCAATGCCAACAACAACAACAATTTGCCCACTACTAGCCATCACCAACGACCCACTGCTTTGCCCATCGTTTTCGAGGAGGACACCGGCGAATTTCAGGATGTTTTGGTGCTCGAGGAGGACGGCACCGCCAAATTGCCATATCGGCACGGCAAGATCGAGGTGCGATTGGAGACGGCGCAGGCGATGGCCGCAGCTGCTTATTATGCCAGGTGAGTGTAGATTAGATTTGCGGCAAGAGGCTGGCAATGCTGGTGCTTATTGTACTAACTATTGTTTAAAAAAAAAGAAGATTTCGTGTGAGAGATGGAGGGATACTGTGAGATGCAATGTGGTATACTTATTGAGGGGGTATCACCGAAGTTCGATAATGTAGATTATATAAGTGTAAGCACTTCATTTTGTCTGTCGGAGAGTAAGCGGTGCTCAAGCCTCAAGTTGATTTCCAATCCGCGCTTTTACTGTCCGAGAGCTTTTACTATAGTCTCGAGTAGGACATTAGGGTACATTTAAAGCACCCTCGATATCAACGAAGGCACTAACCAAATAATCTTTGTTTTTCAATTATTAAAGATGAGGTAGATTCTACTGATCTGCTCTCTAAGGAGACTCAATCGCTCCCCAAGGACCTTGTTTTTATGTACAAGCCAATCAGACTACTAAGGTCTAAAATATGAGAAAAGGGATGCCGTTCTTAAATTCTTTTTGGACGATCTTCGTCAAGAAAAAATTGAGTAAACCTTTTGTGTGAAAAATCAAGAATGATCCAGTCGGAAATATAGCATATCAGAGAAGAAGAAAAAGAATTTAGTGCCAGGCAGCAGATGCAAACGTATGATCATTATTACTGCTGCAAATACGTTACTGTTCCTTTAGAATAAAATCAAAAAGTGACTCAACTCGAGAGTTTCTGTTCGAGCTTCTCTAGCACGAGTTGGCTCAGAGCCAATGATAATTTCGGCCGACCGAGCTCTCGCCTGGGATAGATTCTTTCTTCACAGTGGTGGATATCAGCCAGAGATTGATTGGACATACCTATTCACAGCTGTTCGGCCATGATGATGCTACTCGGTACTTTGACAGCGCGGAGTTGAGCAGGAGCTTCCTCTCAGCTAAAGAAACCCTCAATAATTCAGCCGCTTTTTTAGACGTGTATCTTAGTCAATGGCGATCGCATAGATCTGGAGAATGCTGAGTCGTATCGTTTGGTCTAAAAGAATCATTACGAAATTCTGCGTTATTTTTATAACTTTTCCTCATCGTTTATTCTAAAGATGTTTGACAGCCTTAACATCTTTGAACAAATTTCAACTTCAATTTGTTTCAGTGCACCTAATATTAGCCCAAGCTACGTTCAATGTATCTACGATTGTCGTGGAATGTTCTTAGATTAATGGGTCATTTTTTAATTTTCGAAAATTGTAGTGGACAACGTAATGTATGTATGTACTTAAAAAAATAATAATTAAATTTCATAATTTGTAAAAAAAAATATCCCAACTAAATGAACTTTAATTGGCATCTCCATGCAAGCTGTACTGGTGCAGGAGTTTACAAACATAGATACATATGTATGCGAGTAAAAGCACATACATATATACAAGAAAAAGTATGTGTGTTTTTAATTAAATGATCCACCCTAGATTGGTCGGCTCGACTGTTGCGGCTTCACAAAGCCGCTTTCACCCAATTCAATGCCCAGGATAACTATTCATTGATGCTGCTCCTTTTATGCCATTTTCCGCCTTTGTGCCTTTCCTTATTTTCTCCAGCACACTTTCATAGTGTTTCCTAGTTATTGACGGCGATTATTATCTTCAATGAATTTTCTCTTCACTTCGCCGCCTAGGTACCACTTGATAGCTTTTTCATGTTTGCCGCAGAATTGAAAAAAGTTGTAGTAGTGAGTGTAATGAAGCGGAAATCTATTAAAGATTTTTATCTCGTTTTGAAGTTTGAAGCTATTATGCCCGTAGTGCTTTTGAAAGTGAAACAAAAGAAAAGGAAACCTTGTTGAAAGTAAAAAAAAAAATAGTAAATTTGAATCTTATTTAAGTTATGATAAAAGCAGCGTCGGTATGTCATTAAACTGTGGAAAAATTCGTTTTATTTTCATCTCTCACGTGGTTGGACATTTAAAGTCTTTATGTATGTCTTTAGTTTCGTATTTTCTTTTATCACAAAACTTGCCTTTTGCATTTATATGATTTTTAAATTTAATTTGAACAAGTAACGAAGTATTTTCCAAAATTTACTAGTAAAAGATTACTAGTAAAAGATTATTGCAAACATCGATTTATCGCAGTTTTCGAATTTCTGTAAATTAACGTTATATGGGAGGTAGGCGTGGTTATTGTGCGATTTCATAAATTTTCAGCAGGTTTCTTGGTGGGACTCTCAGCAATGTTTATACCGAGTTTGGTGGAGGTTGGTTAAGCGGCTACTGAGAAACAGTTTTTTATTTATAAGTGAGCGGTGGCACGCCTATTTTCCAAAAATTTCACAATTGTCTTATTTTATGCCAAAATTCTATGTCACTCTCCGACTTTCAACAATTTGGATCCAGTGTTCGATATTCGGAAATATCGCAGTTTTTGCATTTTTCGAAAACACCGTTATATGGGAGGTGAGCGTTACTAGGTTATTCGATCATTCGCCTTTTTCCAAAACCGGTTTTCGAGTTATTCAAAAAATTGCAATTAAAAAATCGGTTCCCGATTTTAAAATTAAAAAAAAAATAATAACGGATAAACTGGTACTTATACAGGGGAAATGGTTGGTATGAAGCCTTGACAAAAAATCACAGTAAAACTATTAGCACGAAAGATAGCTTTTTTTAGAAAAAAATGCAGCAAAATTATACGTTTTTTTAGACTAAAACTAAAAAGAAATAAAAATCAATGAAAATTCCACGTTTGGTTATATTTTAACTATTTTTAATACTTTATTACATTTTTTCTGACCTTTTTCGGATTTGAGTTTTGCACTTGCCGAGTGCTGAGATATGCCTACTGCCACTCGAGAGGTCCATGGTTCAATTTCTGGTCCCAGCAACAGCAAAAAAGTTTTTTTTTTCAAAAAGCGGTCGCCTCTCGGCAGACAATGGCAAACCGCCAACAACATGGCAACATGAATTGGAGGAGAAGCTCGGCAAAACACGTATACAACGTTTAAGCACCAAACAATAACTATTTGTGATCAAATATAATACGGGATTTCAAAATATTTCGACCACGGCGCCATCTAAGGGCGAATTTTTTTTCAAAAATATTCTTGCATAACGGACGGGGTTCACACTTCATGTGTTTGATTTGTTTCAAATTTTTAGGGTTGATGCATAAACATAAATAATAAATAAATATGAAATTTGAGCTTGATTAATACATTTTCATTTCATTTTTACAGCACAAAAACAAAAACAAATCGATTTAATAGTTTTCCAAATACATATCTCGAGAACGGAGCGAGGAAAAAATTAAAAAAAAAAATCACACATACACACATCAAAATTCTCTATGAAAAGAAATATTTTTAAATTTATTTTTCTTAAAAAATTTTTCACATATAAATTTTTTGATAAAAAAAAAATTGTTTTCGAAAATATGACATCTCAAAAAAAAATGTTAAAAAATCACAATGGCAGCTCTGAATACTGCGCATTGATTGATTTGTATCCAAGTGAGCTACTAAACATCGAAAGAGATCGGTATCATTATGTGCCATAACAAGGGGCCTACACGCGCAGGGAATCGGCTCCCCAAGCATGCCAACATAACCTAACCTACATAATTCCATTGTGCTTGAAAGATATGTACTAAAAATACACCACCCCTAATAAATTCCATTCGATGCTGCATACATACATACTATATAATCTTGGCTATGAAAAGGCCGCGGTTTCATTAGCGGATTTATAATAATTGAAGAAGATCAATTAAATATAAAACGTTCGTAGAATATAGAAAACAGTAGCGCTTTAGATGTTTATTTTAGATAATCAAAGGATCATGCTGCTCTCATATACATACATAGTTCTCGAAAGGACATACCTACACGCATACATACATACATTCGAAAATGGAGAAGACCCAATGGAATGATTGATTTCAATTATCAGAGGACCACTTTTTCCCTTTTCCATTGATGAATACGGTTTTGTAGCCATATTATTTTTATGAGCAATGTTGCTTACTGCAATGTCTGGTGAGCCGCTGTTGGCATCTATTGCCATTTTTCCGTTTATTTCATTTGACTGATTGTACTTTTTTTTGATGAATTTCAGTAAAAAAATTGATGCTGCTTGCAATTGGAGTTGTGTAATTCTCGTCCTTTTTGCTTTCCCTTCCTTCTTGCTATGCCAATGCTTCGTTGGTTTTCAATAATTTTTTCTGTTATTTTTTGCGACGCTGCCGCCAATGTGATCTCTATTTGCCACCGATTGCGGGTCGTCCTTGTCGTCGTTGCTCAGTGTCCTTGATGTTTGTTATTTATTTCATTTGTACAGTTTTTGTTGGTGGCGCCTGCATTTGACTGCTTTATTACGTGGTCACTGCTCGCTGTTGTGCGACTACTATTATTTGCTGGCTTTTTCATTTTTTTTATTTTTATTTTTTCATGTTCATTCATTCATTCAGCCACGTTTTTATTTATCAATCGCGTAAAAGACTTCAAAAGTTTTTGATTTGACGTACCAAAATCGCGTTTAGGGAGCATAGTGTTGCCTGTCGTAACTCGTATTTTCGTTATTGTGGTATGCATTGTTGTATTTGTTGTGGCGCCTGACCGCATGGGAGATATCATACAAAGAAAAAAAACCCCTGGAAAATAGCAAAATGCAAAGCACAAAAAGGTAGCAGCGGCAAGCCATCAAAAACTCGCATTACAACTGACAAATCAATTTCTACTCCCGCATCCTGCCTGCCACCGAGCTTACAGCGCGCGGTCGTTAGCTTTGTTGTCCTTTGTTCTGTCCATTTTTTTTTTGAGCATTCCATGAAATTTGATTTGCTAGGTCGCATGTGCTTTTTCTGATAATTTTTAGCAATTTTTTGTGTTTTTTTTTTATTTTCTGTTTTTTGTTTTTATATTTTGCCATGTATTTCTGTGTTGCTGCCTTGTTTATTGCTACTCTGTTTTGTTTCGATTTTTAATCAATGATGGATGAATTACCGGATTTGTTTGTGCTCGTTACCTGTTTTATCGCCCACACTTC